GAGTGACGCTATGACAGGTGCTAATGTTATGATGGTAATACCGTGGCAGGTATTTGTGTTATGACATGCTATGACAAGTACTAATGTCATAACAGTAACACTGGCATGTGGTGGTGATGTGACTGATGCTATGATAGATGTCATGACAGTAACACTGGCTGGTGTTGTGAAAAACGCAGTAACAGGTGTTGATGTCATAACTAATGCCATTATAGGCGTTTGGTCATGATAGTGACGTCATAACATGCTTGTGTGCATGACTGCGCACAGAAATGTATCATGATTTGCCCCAGATATCGTCTGATCATTACGGTTGATAATATACCAGCTGGTGTGTGATCCACGCAGCATCAGCAGACTTTAACATCATCAGCTCAGCTAAGATCTCTAGATTTTCCCTAGATAGAATCCTTTCGTAACCTACTACTGATAATAGTAACTAACCCACAAATATGGGCTTTTATATGTAAGTTTATTTAGGCGCAGATACACATAAGTGCAATTATTATACATAGTGTAAGTTACATAAGATAACCCAAAAAAGTCGAAGTAGCCTTCTGGGCCGGTTATAAATTTTGCAGTTCTGTTTGTAACACCTAAGATGGTGTTAAATTTCCTTACAGTGAATTAATGATAAAAGTTATCAAGTATGCAAGAAATAGATTTCCTGTAATATTTAAAAAGTTAAAACAATTCCCATGGGATGTCTCTCAGCATTGACTGTATACAGGGCCGGATTCCCACATAGGCAAACTAGGCATTTGCCTAGGGCTCCGCGCATTTGGGGGCCCCGCGGTCCAAGGGGTTCAGGGGCTCATCCAAGACTGTGCACATGGTGCAAGTGCAAAGGGGTCCCTACCTAAAAAGTTCAAGTGTTTAGAGAGTAAAATTGATTTTTAAAAATTAATCAAAACAAAAATAAATAATGAAATAAAATAAAATAAAAATAAATAAACCTAACCATAGATGGCAACACTCAACACGCCTTTGTTTACATCAGAACAGCTGTGTTTTCCCGCTAATGGGTGAGTATGGGAGATTCCTCTCCAATTTTCTGTAGTAATTACACGTTATCTAGACTTGTACTGTGACAAATTAACTGAAGTGTTGTTGATAGACATTGATGTGTATGGATAAATGTTTGTTTTCGCCTCTAAATGTTAAGGGATGAAGCTTTTGAAATGTTTGAAGAGAAAGCTAAACTGCTGGTGAAAGACTACAGTTACGGGGCTGATCATCAGCGGTCAAGGAAGAGGAAACGCAATTTTGAAGAGCCAAACAATGAAATTGTGTTGCTACCAAGGCAGAAATGTAAGACAGCTACATACTTCGTCATTCTGGATTCACTGATTACAGAATTGGTGAAAAGAAAAGAAATCTACCAGAATCTCAATGACAAGTTTGGATTTCTGTTCAAAATTACTACTATGCCAGATGCAGAATTGAGAGAAGCTGCATTAAAGTTGCAACAACACCTTTCAGCAGATGTTCAGGACACATTTGTTTAAGAAATAGTTCATTTTTCTGGGCATATGAATCAGATTAAAACTCCACCTGAAAAATGTGCGCCCTCAGCTGCTTTGAAACATTTAAGAAATGCAGGTATCTCAGAAACCTTCCCTAATGTTGACATAGTGTATCACCTTTACCTAACACTTCCAGCTACTAACTGTGAAGGAGAACGTTCATTTTCTGTTTTGAAAAGAGTGAAAAACCAGCTCCGTTCAACAATGAGCCAAGACAAATTGTGTAACCTAGCCTTGTTGACCATTGAGTCTGATCTAACAAGAAATATTGGTTAGGTTAGGTTAGGTAAGGTTCGTCAGGAAACAGGACAAATGTTTCCTGACGCGGGTCTTAGTCAGATGATGACCCGCCTTTGGAGCTTTTGGTCATCTGACCGAGGCCTTCCGCTGGCTTACCGGTCCACCCCTTTAAAAATTATGGTCATTTATAACCATTGTTATATACAAGAAATATTGATTTTCAGAATATAATTGATGATTTTGCCAATATGAAATCCAGAAAAAAGTTTATTTAAGAAGTGCCTGTGAATATAAACAATTCTTTACTTTCTTGAGTTTATATGATTTGATAGTCTTATGCATGATGCAATGATAACAATAATGGTCAGTGATTTATTAAGGGAATAATAGTGCTGTAGTGATTATGCTGAATATAATAGGTACATGATGTCACTACTTTAATAGCCTAATCTAGTAATACTATGCTGTCTTGAGTTTATTCTCTTTAAAATGCATGATTTAACAAGATAGTTTATAATGGCTGTTGGTAAATGGTTTTGGTTGTCTTGATGTACTTTCCCTATTAAATTTAATCTAAATAGCCAGAATGTATTTAATTGGGCCTTAAACAGGCTCACACCGACCCCCCCCCCACCCCCAAGCTGGAAGGGGTCGCTTCGCTTACCCGTAACTCAAAGGGGCCCCGCCAATCTGAATAGCCTAGGGCCCGGAGACTTCTTAATCTGGCCCTGACTGTTTATATGCTTACAGAGTTTACTTAGATCTCTATGCCCCTCAAGGGAGGTTCCTTGACATTGGTGAGGGGCTCTTGATCTAGGGAATTGGATCTGTGCTCCAGTTCCCTGAATTAAGCCTGAATACCTTTCACATCCCCCCTCCCACAGGCGCTGTATAATCCTACGGGTTTAGCGCTTCCTTCGATTATAATAATTAGATCCCTATATTTATGTATATGCACCCATTATTCAGATCCCTATTTTAAGGATTAAAGTATGCTTGTCTGGTGGGGAAAAGTTCACGTGCAGATATTAATAAATGACCATAAGTGTAGTTGATAGACTTATAAATCCTATCAACCAATCAATGACCCTAGTGTAGTCAATAGACCTATAAATCCAATCAGTGACCCTATTGTAGTCGATAGACTTGTGGAAAATTGCATTTAGCTGAATGTATCATTATATACATAACAGTAAATGAACAAAGAATTATTATTTATCAGTTAGACAAGTAGGAATTTGGGACACCTAGGTCGCAAAAAATGTCCCCCTTCGATACCTACCACTGTCATATCCACAAGTTGCTCTGGACCTATTAATTAAATGAAATATACATACACCAGGAATGTTGGTAAATATATAAATTTGTGGACTATATTAAAAATAAACGGTTATATATACACAATTACATAACAGAAGGAAAATATATCTTAATATTACTCACCAATTTGACTGGAGATTAATGTGTATCATACTCAGAAAACCTCACTCTTAACTAAATCTATGAAAATAATGCTGGCCAGAATTACACACAAATCTAGAGAGCTTATCTGAGGTTCCTGGAGCTGTCTTGTCCAGTCGCCTGATATCTCAAGTTATGCAGGAATGCATATCCACCAATTTCGCCTCCTATTTGAGAGGTGTCAGCACAATTTTAACCTCTAGAGCACGAAAAATTCTTCCCCACTCACCGTTTCTAATACAAATTCAAAACCAAGATGGCGAGTCCCCTGCCCAGCCGCAGGCTTTCCGTTTTCTATGACATAAATATTATTAAATACAGTATGGCCATCTATTTACATATAAATACTGAATTTCTGGAAAATATATACAGTATTTTCCACAAGACTTATAAATCCAGTCAATGACCCTCGTATTGTCGATAGACAGTTGCATCAAATGACTAAATGATAACCAGCTGTCAAGGTTTTCCCAGGACTAAATTTCAACTATTTTCACTGATCAAAACAAGTTTAGTAATAAAATTATAGCCTAGTGTTTACTGATGCTATGATATATTTTATTTAAATATTGACACCTGACGCCTTTACTCAGCACTAACACAGAATTTGTGTTGATCCAAAATGCTGTAAATTTCCTATGTTAGATTGTTAGAAAAACTGAATAATTTAATGCGAGAACAATTTGGATAGCAGAAGACTGCAGGCGGTGCAACATCCCCCCCCCCCCCCCAGTTAAAAGCAGAGGCGCCATGAATACGCTAAGAGACAACGCAGTGTCAGGGGCCCAAGACTGTTCATCTGTCTCCCAGCATATATAAGGGGGATTACCAACAGAGACTCCCTGGCTGTCTTTATGAGGGAGTTGGATAGCCTGGCTGGTCAGTACCTGACCAACCAGGCTGTGATTCGTACGTTGGTTTACGTGCGGCCAGCAGTAACGGCCTGGTTAATTAGACCCTGATCCACCACGAGGCCTGGTCACACACCGGGCCGCGGGGGCGTTGACCCCCAAAGCACCCTCCAGGTATTATATATTAATTTTATATTCACAAGTAAGAGATAACCGCGTATAGGTCATACTACACCTGGGAAGTGGGAGGTGCTTACACTTCTTGAAATAAATCCTAGTAATCTATTAGCTTTATTGCACATACTTAGACATTATTCAAGGAGGGGAAAGCAGCTCCAATTCTATATATATATATATATATAATATATATATATATATATATATATATATATATATAATATATATATATATATATATATATATATAAACCCTAATGAATAGACTTTTCCAGAAAAAATATAGTGATAGATATGTTTTTCATTGGCAATGATATAAAATATTTTATTTTTCTACCAAACCTAACTTAAAAACCTCGTCTAACCTAACTTAAAACTAACGCAATTTTCTTTTAGTTAAATTCTGCTATGTATAGCATAAGTCAGTTTAAATTTATTTAATATTACTTAACACCAATGACATTTTTTTTTCGTTATGTTCAGATTGGTTTCCGCTGACTTACAGCAGACAAAATTTTCATTCTGCTAATTAGGCAGAGAACACCCGTGTCGAATTGGCCAAACTCTCCGGTTCGGCTTATCGGCACGACATAAGCAAGTTTATTCAGGCACAGGTACACATGAATACAGTTACACAAATTATCATACACAGTAACATATGTGTAAATTACCTAGGATAACCCAAAAAGTGACTTATTTCCATTCGTTAGATGACTTTCAGCGACTACTAAATTAGCAACACTAACCTGGTTTGTAAGAAGTGCAGGTGTGCTAGGGTGGTGGTGAAGGTAGAGACGGTAATTAAGACCTGAAGGGATACCCATCAGACGTAAGACTTTCTTGGCCAACTCTTCAGCAGTTCGTTGACGGAGGTAAACAGCGTAGTAGTGGGTGTGCTGGGAGCTTAGACGTACATAGATCTTCACCTGCATGCTCAGCCTGTTCGGAACAGGTAAATAAGTTTATTTAGCCACAGGTACACATAAATACAGTTATTATACACAGCGTAAATTACCTAGGGTAACCCAAAAAATGTCATGACAAAGTGAACACCACCCACGGGGTGAGAAGTCCAAAGTTCTTTAACCAGAGGTTTGGTAAGCTGGGGGAGGTAGGTATTAGGAGGTAGGTATTACATGTAGGTATTAGGAGGTAGGTATTACATGTAGGTATTAGGAGGTAGGTATTACATGTAGGTATTAGGAGGTAGGTATTACATGTAGGTATTAGGAGGTAGGTATTACATGTAGGTATTAGGAGGTAGGTATTACATGTAGGTATTAGGAGGTAGGTATTACATGTTGGTAATAGGAGGTGGGTATTACATGTAGGTATTAGGAGGTAGATATTACATGTAGGTATTAGGAGGTAGGTATTACATGTAGGTATTAGGAGGTAGGTATTACATGTAGGTATTAGGAGGTAGGTATTACATGTAGGTATTAGGAGGTAGGTATTACATGTAGGTATTAGGAGGTAGGTATTACATGTAGGTATTAGGAGGTAGGTATTACATGTAGGTATTAGGAGGTAGGTATTACATGTAGGTATTAGGAGGTAGGTATTACATGTAGGTATTAGGAGGTAGGTATTACATGTGGTATAGGAGGTAGGTATTACATGTAGGTATTAGGAGGTAGGTATTACATGTAGGTATTAGGAGGTAGGTATTACATGTAGGTATTAGGAGGTAGGTATTACATGTAGGTATTAGGAGGTAGGTATTACATGTAGGTATTAGGAGGTAGGTATTACATGTAGGTATTAGGAGGTAGGTATTACATGTAGGTATTAGGAGGTAGGTATTACATGTAGGTATTAGGAGGTAGGTATTACATGTAGGTATTAGGAGGTAGGTATTACATGTAGGTATTAGGAGGTAGGTATTACATGTAGGTATTAGGAGGTAGGTATTACATGTAGGTATTAGGAGGTAGGTATTACATGTAGGTATTAGGAGGTAGGTATTACATGTAGGTATTAGGAGGTAGGTATTACATGTAGGTATTAGGAGGTAGGTATTACATGAGGTATAGGAGTAGTATTACTGTAGGTATTAGGAGGTAGGTATTACATGTAGGTATTAGGAGGTAGGTATTACATGTAGGTATTAGGAGGTAGGTATTACATGTAGGTATTAGGAGGTAGGTATTACATGTTGGTAATAGGAGGTGGGTATTACATGTAGGTATTAGGAGGTAGGTATTACATGTAGGTATTAGGAGGTAGGTATTACATGTTGGTAATAGGAGGTAGGTATTACATGTAGGTATTAGGAGGTAGGTATTACACGTAGGTATTAGGAGGTAGGTATTACATGTAGGTATTAGGAGGTAGGTATTACATGTAGGTATTAGGAGGTAGGTATTACATGTAAGTATTAGGAGGTAGGTATTACATGTAGGTATTAGGAGGTAGGTATTACATGTAGGTATTAGGAGGTAGGTATTACATGTAGGTATTAGGAGGTAGGTATTACATGTTGGTAATAGGAGGTAGGTATTACATGTAGGTATTAGGAGGTAGGTATTACATGTAGGTATTAGGAGGTAGGTATTACATGTAAGTATTAGGAGGTAGGTATTACATGTAGGTATTAGGAGGTAGGTATTACATGTAGGTATTAGGAGGTAGGTATTACATGTAGGTATTAGGAGGTAGGTATTACATGTTGGTAATAGGAGGTAGGTATTACATGTAGGTATTAGGAGGTAGGTATTACATGTAGGTATTAGGAGGTAGGTATTACATGTTGGTATTAGGAGGTAGGTATTACATGTAGGTATTAGGAGGTAGGTATTACACGTAGGTATTAGGAGGTAGGTATTACATGTAGGTATTAGGAGGTAGGTATTACATGTAGGTATTAGGAGGTAGGTATTACATGTAGGTATTAGGAGGTAGGTATTACATGTAGGTATTAGGAGGTAGGTATTACATGTAGGTATTACGTGCAGGTAATAATTCAGATAGTACCCTGTAAATCTCCTGCAGACAATTTGCTCACATAATAATTCACAATTTGAATGATTTTTAGCGATGCAAAATACATTGTGAAAATTAATGTAAACCCCTACAGAAAAACTTGGATAAATTGAGCAAATTGTATGGTAGATGGAATTTATTATGTAATACCTGGAGAGAGCTTCTGGGGTCAACGCCCCCACGGCCCAGTCTGTAACCAGGCATCATGGTGGATCAGGGCCTGATCAGCCAGGCTGTTACTGTTGGCCAAGCACAACTCGACGTATGAACCACAGCCCGGCTGGTCAGGTATTGACTTTAGGTGCCTGCCCAGTGCCTTCTTGAAGACAGCCAGGGGCCTATTGGTAATCCCCCTTATGTAAGCTGAGAGGCAGTTGAATAGTCTCGGGCCCCTGACACTTATTGTTGTCTCTTATCGTGTTAGTGGCACCCCTGCTTTTCATTGGGGGATGTTGCATCATCTGCTGAGTCTTTTGCTTTCATAGGGAGTGATTTTCGTGCGCAAGTTTGGTACTAATCCCTCTAGGATTTTCCAAGTGTATATAATCATGTATCTCTCCTGCCTGCATTCTAGGGAGTATAGATTGAGGAACTTAAGCGTTCCCAGTAATTGTGTTGTCTTATTGCAGTTATGCGCGCCGTGAAGGTTTTCTACATTTTCTAGATCAGCAATTTCACCTGCCTTGAAAGGTGCTGTTAGAGTGCAGCAATATTCCAGCCTAGATAGAACAAGCGACCTGAAGAGTGTCATCATGGGCTTGGCATCCCTAGTTTTGAAGGTTTTCATTATCCATCCTGTCATTTTTCTAGCAGATGTGATTGATACAATGTTGTGATCTTTGAAGGTAAGATCCTCTGACATTATCACTTCCAGGTCTTTTACATTATTTTTTTGCTCTATTTTTGTGTAGTTGGAATTTGTTTTATACTTCAATACAGTTTTAACTTCCTCACGTTTTCCATATCAGAGTAAGTAATTGAAATTTCTCATCAATGAACTTCATATTGTTTTCTACAGCCCATTTAAAGATTTGGTTGATGCCCGCCTGGAGTCTTGCAGTGTCTTCAATAGAGGACGCTGTCATGCAGATTCGGGTGTCATCTGCTAAGGAAGACACGGTGCTGTGGCTTACATCCCTGTCTATGTCAGATATGATGATGATGAACAGGATGGGAGTGAGTACTGTGCCTTGTGGAACAGAGCTTTTCACTGTAGCCGCCTCAGACTTTACCTGTTTACTACTACTCTTTGTGTTCTCTTTGTTAGGAAATTATAAATCCATCTACCAACTTTTCCTGTTATTCCTTTATCACGCTATTACACTATGGTTACACTTGTCAAAGGCTTTTGCAAAGTCTGTGTATACTACATCTGCATTTTGTTTGTCCTCTAGTGCATCCAGGACTTTGTCATAGTGGTCCAGTAATTAGGACAGGCAGGAACGACCTGCTCTAAACCCATGTTGCCCTGGGTTGTGTAACTGATGGGTCCCTAGATGGGTGGTGATCTTGCTTCTTAGAACCCTTTTAAAGATTTTTATGATGTGGGATGTTAGCGCTATCAGTCTGTAGTTCTTTGCTATTGCTTTACTTCTCCCTTTGTGGAGTGGGGCTATGTCTGTTGTTTTTAGCAGCTGTGGGACGACCTGTGTCACTGCTCCCTCTCCATAGGATGTTGAAAGCACATGATAGGGGCTTCTTGTAGTTCTTGATGAACACGGAGTTCCATGAGTCTGGGCCTGGGGCAGAGTGCATGGGCATGTCATTTATCGCCTTTTCGAAGTCATTTGCAGTCAGGGTAATATCAGATAGGTTTGAGTCTATCAAATTCTGTGTCTCGCCCATAAACAAATTCATTTAGGTCTTCTACTCTCAGTCTGGTTAGCGGCTCGCTAAAGACCGAGACATATTGGGACTTGAGTAGCTTACTCATTTCCTTGCTGTCATCTGTGTGGGACCCATCTCGTCTAAGTTGTTGTTCTCGACTCTGATTTGTCATATGGTTGTGATGTAATCATAACCATAATTTTTAAAGGGGATAAGCCAGCGGAAGACCTCGGTTAGATGACCCAAAGCTCCAGCTGTGGGTCATCATGGACAAAGACTCGCGTCAGGAAACATTTGTCCTGTTCCCTGACAAACCTTACCTAACCTAACCTAAGAGTAAAATATAGATCCGAATATAGATTGTGATAAAATATTACAAGCGTCAGACAGTGAGCTCATGATCCAAGGAACTGGACTTATTCTCCTATTCTTTAGATCGAATCTGATTATCTCCTATTCCCAGGCACTATGATTCGTGTAGGTTTAGTAATGTGCTCATAGCACCTTTAATATGACCCTTATGGGTTTAGCGCTTAGTTATGATTATTATAATAACAGAATTCTTCCTCCGTAAGCCATGCGTGTCGTAAGAGGCGACTAAAATGCCAGGAGCAAGGGGCTAGTAACCCCCTTCTCCTGTATATATTACTAAATTTAAAAGGAGAAACTTTGGTTTTTGTCGTTTGGGCCACCCTACCTCGGAGGGCCACCCTGCCTCGGTGGGCCACCCTGCCTCGGTGGGCCACCCTGCCTCGGTGGGCCACCCTGCCTCGGTGGGATACGGCCGGTTTGTTGAAAGACGAAATACCTTTAAAGGCAAGAAAGATGTCAGTGCTAGAAAATGTACAGAGATAGTTTATTGCCATAATATAAATGAAAATCCATTGAAAATAAACACTACCAGGGACACTTTAAAGCTCATGGAATGTACTCTCTCTAGACTGAAGAAGAGAGATACTGTATTTGATATATACATGGAAGAAACTTGATGGATATATTCCCAATAAGCACATTGTCATCACAACTTCATGGAGTGAGAAATATAGGAGGAGGAGGCACAATATACTTAGCGGAAAGCAAAGGCATCATAGGCACAACTAGAGAACACTGTGTTAATATTAGTGGTCCATAACTGCAATCTACAAACAGCAAATATAAAAAAAAAATTGCCGCAACAAATTCTTATCATAATGGGGGGAGCGTTAAGTCGGTTGGGATTATACAGCTTCTGTGAGGAAGGGGCAATGGAAGGCATTCAGGCTCGGGTCAAGAAACTGGAGAACAGATACAATTCTTTAGATCAAGAGCCCCTCTCCAGCAACAACCCTTGAGGGTTGTCGCAACAAATACAGCTACACACACTAGTAGCGACCAGCAAAAAGGCGGGGCCGGGAGCTGTAAATCGACCCCTGTAATCACAAATAAGTGAGTACACACACAAGAAGAGATACGATAAAGCTCACTGGTAGCGACCAGCGAAGAGGCGGGACCAGGAGTTGTGACTCGACCCTTGCAACCACAAATAGGTAAGTACACACACACACACACACACACACACACAAAATACTGAGAGGAATTGACAAGATGAACAAAGACAGGATGTTTCAGAGATGGGACACAGCAACAAGGGGACACAGTTGGAAGTTGAAGACACAGATGAATCACAGGGATGTTAGGAAGTATTTCTTCAGCCACATAGTAGTCAGGAAGTGGAATAGTTTGGGAAGCGATGTAATGGAGGCAGGATCCATACATAGCTTTAAGCAGAGGTATGATAAAGCTCACGGTTCAGGGGGAGTGACTTAGTAGCGACCAGTGAAGAGGCGGGGCCAGGAGCTTGGACTCGACCCCTGCAACCTCAACTAGGTGAGTACACACACACACACACACACATATATATACAAGCACGCATATACAACAGGCCTAGTGTCTAATCGACATGTGCCCAGGACAAAATGGTAACTAACACACACACACACACACACACGGAAAACCAGAGATCTGGTGGACGAACCAGGGAGGAAAGACTGGGAGTTAGAGCTCCAAAAAAGGGAGGAAGAGTGAGGAAGGAAGATAGTAGAGCTTGGTAAGAAAATGGAGGAGAGGATAGCTGAAGAGTGCAGGAAGTGGGAAGTACAGGTCTTAGCAGCAGAAGCTAGGATACAGTGCTTAGAAGAGAAACTGCAAAGCCTGAAACAGATTAGAGAGACAAATGACAATTCAGATGTGACATCAGGAAATTCAATGTCAGGCGCAGACAAGGGGACGGTAAGCAACAAAGGAGACATGCCGTACGCGAAGGCCCTATCAGACCCATGTGGGGCCAGGGAAAAGACGAGGAGCACACTAAGATCAAATGACAGGTCCGAAGACAATGAAGGTATGCTATATGCAGAGATTCTAACAGCCAACTGCAGTAGCAAGGGACAGCTGGTCATGAAAGACAGTTCACTGAGAATAGAAGTTTCAGATATGACAGGGACTGAAAGCAAGAACATGTCAATGGAAGGAAATAAAATGCCTCAGAGGAAGCAGAAGGAGACTCAGTGGGAGGAGGAAAGGGCGAGGTCAGTTTTTGTGTACGGGCTCCAAGAAGCCAAGGGGGACAACTTCGAAGAAATAAAACAGGAGGAGAAAAAAATGATTGAAGGCATCATGAAAACAATAGGTGAGGGCGATATGACCCAGGTGACAAATTTTCAGAGAATTGGGTGGTTTGCAAGTGGAAGGATACGGCCTGTCAAAGTAATTTTCAAGGAAGAATCAGTTCGAACCAGGATTCTGCAAGAGAAAGCAAGACTGAGGGACAAACAGGGGTACCAGAGAGTATACCTCGACCGCGACAGAACACAAGAAGAAAGGACTACACTGAAAGAGAGGGTACAGAGACGCAAGGAGGAACGAGAGGCAATGACGAAAATGAGCAGGACCCAGACACAGGAGGAAGGGCAAACACACCCCACAGAATCTCCCACCAAAAGGGAGATCGACTGGGAAAACCTGGAGCCACATGGGGGTCCCAAAACATGGAGAGCCAAGATGATGGATGTGGTACTTGAAAACCTCATGCATCAACATGTCAGGGACACAACCAGAGAGAGAGGGGAGGATGAGCCAGAAAGACTATATCTTGTGTTCACCCTGAGCAGTTCAGACATTGAGGACATCACTTACGAGAGGCCCCTTGGAGCTAGCGATCACGTGGTTCTGAGTTTTGATTATATAGTAGAGTTACAAGTGGAGAAGGTAACAGGAACTGAAGGGGACAGGCCAAACTATAAAAGGGGGGACTACACAGGTATGAGAAACTTCCTGCAGGAGGTTCAGTGGGACAGAGAAATGGTAGGAAAATCAGTAAACGAGATGATGGAATATGTGGCAACAAAGTGCAAGGAGGCAGAGGAAAGGTTTGTTCCCAAGGGAAACAGAAATAATAGGAAGACACCCGAAGGTGTAGGGAGGCAAAAACTAAGTGCAATAGAGAATGGAAAAGGTACAGGAGGCATAGGACCCAGGAAAAACAAGGAGATTAGTAGAAGAGCCAGAAACGAGTATGCACAGATAAATTCAAATTCAAATTCAAATTCAAAGTTTATTCTCCATAAAGATTACAATGTTGAATTTACAGAATTTGGTTGTTGTGTGGTTTACATGTAGTTAAATAATGATTACAGAGTGTACTACTAGAATGCCTAGCATGGCTAGGCATTTCGGGCAGAAATCCACGACATAGCATCGAAACTCAAATCTGACCCGAAACTGCTGTATAGCCACATTAGAAGGAAGACAACAGTCAAGGACCAGGTGATAAGGCTGAGGAAAGAAGGTGGAGAATTCACAAGAAACGATCAAGAGGTATGTGAGGAGCTCAACACGAGATTTAAGGAAGTATTTACAGTAGAGACAGGAAGGACTCTGGGGGGACAGACCAGATGGGGACACCAGCAAGGAATACACCAACAAGTGTTGGACAACATACATACAAATGAGGAGGAGGTGAAGAAACTGCTAAGGGACATCGATACCTCAAAGGCAATGGGACTGGACAACATCTCCCCGTGGATCCTTAGAGAGGGAGCAGATATGTTGTGCATGACACTTACCACAATCTTCAACACGTCCCTGGAAACTGGGCAACTACCTGAGGTATGGAAGACGGCAAATGTAGTTCCCATTTTTAAAAAAGGAGACAGAAAAGAGGCACTAAACTATAGACCTGTGTCATTGACGTGTATAGTATGCAAAGTTATGGAGAAGATTATCAGGAGGAGAGTGGTGGAGCACCTGGAACGGAACAAGAGTATAAATGCCAACCAGCACGGATTCATGGAAGGCAAATCCTGTGTCACAAACCTTCTGGAGTTTTATGATAAAATAACAGAAGTAAGACTCGAGAGAGAGGGGTGGGTTGATTGCATCTCCTTGGACTGCAAGAAGGCCTTTGACACAGTTCCTCACAAGAGATTAGTGCAGAAGCTAGAGCATCAGGCGCATATAACAGGAAGGGCACTGCAATGGATCAGAGAATACCTGACAGGGAGGCAACAACGAGTCATGGTACGTAATGATGTATCACAGTGGGCACCTGTGACGAGCGGGGTCCCACAGGGGTCGGTCCTAGGACCAGTGCTATTTTTGGTATATGTGAACATGATGGAAGGGTTAGACTCAGAAGTGTCCCTGTTTGCAGATGATGTGAAGTTAATGAGGAGAATTAAATCAGATGAGGACCAGGCAGGACTTCAAAGAAACCTGGACAGACTGGACACCTGGTCCAGCAAATGGCTTCTCGAATTTAATCCTGCCAAATGCAAAGTCATGAAGATACGGGAAGGGCACAGAAGACCACAGAGTATAGGCTAGGTGGCCAAAGACTGCAAACCTCGCTCAAGGAGAAAGATCTTGGGGTGAGTATAACACCGAGCATGTCTCCGGAAGCACACATAAATCAGATAACTGCTGCAGCATATGGGCGCCTGGCAAACCTGAGAACAGCATTCCGATACCTTAGTAAGGAATCGTTCAAGACACTGTACACCGTGTATGTCAGGCCCATACTGGAGTATGCAGCACCTGTTTGGAACCCGCACTTGATAAAGCACGTCAAGAAACTAGAGAAAGTACAAAGGTTTGCGACAAGGTTAGTTCCAGAGCTAAGGGGAATGTCCTATGAAGAAAGATTAAGGGAAATCGGCCTGACGACACTGGAGGACAGGAGGGTCAGGGGAGACATGATAACGACATATAAAATTCTGCGTGGAATAGACAAGGTGGAAATAGACAGGATGTTCCAGGGAGGGGACACAGAAACAAGAGGCCACAATTGGAAGTTGAAGACACAAATGAGTCAGAGAGATATTAGGAAGTATTTCTTCAGTCATAGAGTTGTCAGGCAGTGGAATAGCCTAGAAAATGACGTAGTGGAGGCAGGAACCATACACAGTTTTAAGACGAGGTTTGATAAAGCTCATGGAGTTGGGAGAGAGAGGGCCCAGTAGCAACCGGTGAAGAGGCGGGGCCAGGAGCTAAGACTCGACCCCTGCAACCACAAATAGGTGAGTACACACATGCACACGCACACACACACACACGCACGCACGCACGCACGCACGCACGCACGCACGCACGCGCGCATATACAGCAGTCCTAGTGTCGAATCGATATGTGCCTAGGACAGAATGGTAACTAACACACACACACACACACTAGCTAGCGACCACGTGGTTCTGTGCTTTGAATACATAGTAGAGTTGCAAGTGGAGAGAGTAACAAGAGTTGAATGGGAAAAGCCAGACTATAAAAGAGGGGACTACATAGGGTTGAGGAACTTCCTGCAGGAGGTTCCGTGGGACAGAGAACTGGCAGGAAAGCCAGTAAACGAAATGATGGAATATGTAACAACAAAATGCAAGGAGGCAGTGGAAAGGTTTATTCCTAAGGGCAACAGAAACAATGGGAAGACCAGAACGAGCCCCTGGTTTACCCGGCGGTGTAAGGAGGCAAAAACAAAGTGCAATAGAGAATGGAAAAAGTAGAGAAGGCAGAGTACACACGAAAATAGGGAGATCAGCTGCAGAGCCAGGAACGAGTATGCACAGGTAAGGAGGGAGGCCCAGCGACAGTATGAAAATGACATAGCATCGAAAATCAAGACTGACCCGAAACTGTTGTATAGCCACATCAGGAGGAAGACAACAGTCAAAGACCAGGTGATCAGATTGAGGACAGAAGGTGGAGAACTCACAAGAAATGATCAAGAGGTATGTGAGGAGCTAAACAGGAGATTTAAGGAAGTTTTTACAGTAGAGACAGGAAGGGCTGTGGGAAGACCACAGAAGGGAACATCAAGAGGGAATATACCAACAAGTGTTGGATGGCATACGAACAACCGAGGAGAAGGTGCAGAAGCTGCTAAGTGACATCTCCCCATGGGTCCTTGGAGAAGGAGCAGAGATGCTGTGCGTGCCCCTAACCACAATCTTCAACACATCCCTTGAAACTGGGCAACTACCTGAGAAATGGAAGACAGCAAATGTAGTCCCCATATTTAAGAAAGGAAACAGAAATGAGGCACTAAACTACAGACCTGTGTCTCTGACATGTATTGTGTGCAAAGTCATGGAGAAGATTATCAGGAGGAGAGTGGTGGAACACCTGGAACGGAACAAGATTGTAAATGAAAACCAGCATGGGTTCATGGAAGGCAAATCCTGTGTCACAAACCTCCTGGAGTTTTATGACAAGTTAACAGAAGACACGAGAGAGAGGGGTGGGTTGATTGCGTTTTCCTAGACTGCAGGAAGGCCTTCGACACAGTTCCCCACAAGAGACTAGTGCAGAAGCTGGAGGATCAGGCGCATATAACATGGAGGGCACTGCAATGGATCAGGGAATACCTGACAGGGAGGCAGCAACGAGTCATGGTACGTGAAGAGGTATCACACTGGGCGCCTGTGACGAGCGGGGTCCCACAGGGGTCAGTTCTAGGACCAGTGCTATTTTTGAAATATGCGAATGACATGATGGAAGGAATAGACTCTGAAGTGTCCCTATTCGCAGATGATGTGAAGTTGATGAGAAGAATTAAATCGGATGAGGATGAGGCAGGACTGCAAAGAGACCTGGACAGGCTGGACATGTGGTCCAGAAACTGGCTTCTCGAATTCAGTCCTGCCAAATGCAAAGTCATGAAGATTGGAGAGGGGCAAAGAAGACTGCAGACAGAGTATAGGCTAGGTGGACAAAGACTACAGCCCTCACTCGGGGAGAAAGACCTTGGGGTGACCATAACACCGAGCACGTCACCCGAGGCGCACATCAACCAAATAACTGCTGCAGCATACGGGCGCCTGGCAAACCTGAGAATAACGTTCCGATACTTTAACAAGGAATCGTTCAAGACACTGTACACTGTGTATGTTAGGCCCATACCGGAGTATGCAGCACCAGTCTGGAACCCACACCTGGTCAAGCACGTCAAGAAGTTAGAGAAAGTACAAAGGTTCGCAACAAGGCTAGTCCCAGAGCTCAGGGAAATGTCGTACGAGGAAAGGTTGAGGGATATCGGACTGACGACACGGGAGGACAGAAGGGTCAGGGGAGACATGATAATGACATACAAGATACTGCGGGGAATAGACAAGGTGGACAGAGATAGGATGTTCCAGAGAGGGGACACAGAAACAAGGGGCCACAACTGGAAGCTGAAGACTCAGACGTGTCACAGGGGCGTTAAGAAGTATTTCTTCAGCCATAGAGTCGTCAGGAAGTGGAATAGCCTAGCAAGTGAAGTAGTGGAGGCAGGAACCATACATAGTTTTAAGAAGAGGTATGACAAAGCTCAGGAAGCAGAGAGGGAGAGTGACCTAGTAGCGATCAGTGAAGAGGCGGGGCCAGGAGCTTGGACTCGACCCCTGCAACCTCAACTAGGTGAGTACACACACACATATACAAGCACGCATATACAACAGGCCTAGTGTCTAATCGACATGTGACTAGGACAAACTCGTAACTAACACACACACACACGCACACGCACACCTGCCTTTACTGGCAAATTGGCTGTAAGAGTATAGTGTCTGTCTTATCATTCGAGAATCCAACAGTTATTGCGTTGAATGTTAGGTTTAGCGCTTAGCTTTACATTATTATTATTATTACTTCCTATAATTATAATCAGGAATGTGCAAATGTATTGCTATCGGCAAAAATTATGGTATCGTCCTATACTTAACAGTAATAATACTCATACAAGGTAGAGGCTGTCTAGCTCAGACTTACCGAGGGTTGAGAGTGTTGAAGATCTCGGCACCGTCAGTCTGGCCGCAGATATCCACAAAATCCGAGGAAGAGAAATTGAGCATGTCTGTACCTGTGAAGCTCTTGAAGGTGTCGACGTGTTGCCGGAAGCCGTTTGCTGTGAGCCAGTTGACTGTCTCTTGTGGGGTGGCAGACGCAGGCAAGACTCTCTCCCAGTACTGACACCAGGGACATGTCCGAACACAAGTGTTACTCACAAAACGCAGAAGCATAAATCAGGACATTTAATAGAGGAAAAGATTCCTCTAATAAATGTCCTGAACTGTACAAAAATGTCTTTTTCCACATCTTGTCAGTATCACCATAACAGTTTTCACATAAACAGAATTATTATTATTGCTGCACGTGTGACAGGTACTTTTAGCTCTCAAGGATTAGGCTAAAATGACAGTGAATGAAACTGAGGTAAATAGAACACAAAGTAGAATAATATCATACATAGCAGCCACCGAGATGAAAATATTTGTATAGGAACATATAATAAAAAAATGTAATCAAATATCACTTGAAAAGCGTATAAAGATGTGGAAGGTGTTAGTTGTGAAGGCTTGCTTGAATAAAATGCTGGAAAAATTGTTATGATAAATTAACTGTACCAGCCACAACAACTGACAACAGTTGACGTATAGTAGGTAAGATTTAGTAGTCTTATTATGCACCCTATACCCATATATTGAAAGTTAGTAAAATGATTACAAAAATACATAAAGAGATTATGTACATGAATAATATATAATACCGACAAGATGACGAATTTGACACATGTGCAGCATCTGGGAGTCTTTATTTGTAGACGTTTCGCCTCGTGAAACTTCTACAAATAAAGTTACCCAGATGTTGCACATGTGTCTAATTCTTCATAAAGGGATTATAACTGAAATCCAATAAATACAAAAACTGAAGCTCACCTGATCCAGCTCGTCCATGCTACAGGAAATACTTTTATCTGTCTCTGCTTTTTCATCTTCACTCTGTACAGGAACTGTTTTAATACTTCCTGTGTGGTCTTCACATTGTAAATCTTTGTTGTCATCATTATGCAAATAGTTTTTTCTATTATTTGCGTCTCTACTTTTACTGGATAAAACTATGTCTTTGAGATCCTGTGTACCTTTCCTGTATACATCGTGGTGTTGGGAAGTGTTGGAGACTGTAGTGTTGGAGACTGTAGTGTTGGAGACTGTAGTGTTGGAGACTGTAGTGTTGGAAGAAGTGGCGTTGGAGACAGCGGCATTGGAGATTATGGTGGTGAGGTTTGTAGTGTTGTAGGCTGTAGTTGTAATTTTCCTCACACTCATGTCTCGACTCTCACCCGAATCACTTCTGCAAAGTTAAAATCTATTATTACATGTTGGTTCACAAGTGTGTATTCATACACGTGTACTTATCTGTTTCCATGCCACTTACCGCGGTCATGCTAGCTTGATCAAACTCAACAACAAAAACGCACAGTACTGCGACTAGAACAATAAGTAAGTTTATTTAGTTATACACAAATACAGTTACATAGACTACCATACATAGCAGCATATGTGTAGAGAACCTGGGATAACCCAAAAAAGTCACACAGTGACTTATTTCCATGGGGGTCTTTACACAAATGGTCCAGGTCAGACCGAAACGTCGTCGTAAGCTCCCCTCTTCTGTGTATACCTGGGGAAGCTTTCGGGGACCAACGCCCCCGCTGCCCGGTTTGTGACCAGGTCTCGTGGTGGATCAGGGCCTGATCAACCAAGCTGTTACTGTTGCCCGCACGCAACCCAACGTACGAACCAAAGCCCTGCTGGTCAGGTAATTTAGGTGCCAGGTTATTTGTGTATTGAGCTCGCTAGATCCAGTCCCCGAGCTCTGGAGTCTGCAATCACCGAGTGGTGCTTCTTATTGTCTTCATTATATTATTGATGATGCATTAACTTCAACTCTTCCATGCTGATAAATTAATAATGCAGTTTCTAAGCTGTTTCAGGCCTAATATGATTGTGTATATTAGGGGACTGTTCTCTTTCTTATCTGAAAAGTTCCAATTAGATTTAGGCTGTGTGGAAAATTTTGAATTTTCCTAAATTCAGCACGGGTAAATTTGAATACAATAATTGTGTAATAAAATATGATGCTGATTTGACCCTTTCGAGAAATTTGGCGTGAGGGGGTGTAGAACAACTGGGGAGGAGACGCCATATTGAGTTTAATGTGAACACTGGTCTTTTAATTGTGCAATGCAATCAGGCGTTCTCGAAGGCAAAATTGAGTTGTTTCGGCCTGGATTTGTAATAGGAACCCGTGTTAATGTTCCCTTCTGAAGAATTGGAACAGAAAATTTGCGGAACCTCAAGAATTACGAGTGGATGGCGCAAGATGAGGGATGCGGACATCACTCACAGTGAAGTACACCATTTGTCCTTGCATTTAGATCACTAGCTGGCCAGTTTGTTGTCCTTGTTAGGCAGGTGTTGTGGTGTGATCCATCTACAGTAATTAAATGGTAAGTGTTAATATGAATATTTTGTGTACTTGGCAAGTAAACCAAAATCCTATATAGTCCACATAACTTTAATTACCAGAGTGCTGTTTTTAATTTAAAAATTATTAATTTAATTCAGGTCAGCTTTTTGTGAGTGGTGGGAAGTGGGTATTCAAGAGAGTTACGGTTCTCCCAACCTACGGGAAAACTAGGCCCCTACATCCCTTTTCACCCAAATTTTACTTGCAGGTAAAAATTCGGGAATACCCTTAAGCTCCTGCAGGTGATATCTCAAAAAAAATAATAAAAAAAATAATAATAAAAAAATAATAAAAAAAATAAAAATAATAAAATAATCAAAATCAAAAATAAAAAATTTCACAGGGTGAATGGCCAAATTTGGCCCTTTTTTTGGGGAAGAAAATTGGGCCCAAAAATAGTTTGGGCCCTTTTTAATCCCTTCTTGATATGCCCTTCCCCCCTTTGCGGATTCCCCCTTCAAAATCCCCCCAACCCTTTTAAAAATTCCCAGTTGCATTATCAACTTATGCAGTAACCTTTTAAGAGTGCGAATACACACCCACACACACAAAATAGGGTCAGCCCCTAGGACCGGTCCCTGTTTCTGGATAGGGAACGACAACGGAAAGACTCAGAAGTGGCCCCCTGTTTCAGATATTGAAGTTGATGAGAAGAATTCAGTGGGAGGAGGACCAGGCAGAACTAAAAAGGGGATCGACAGTTTTGCGGGCCTGATCCAGAAACTGGCTCCTGATTTTCAACCCCCCCAAAGTGCAGAGTCATGAAGTTTTGGGGAAAAGGGGGCAAAAAAAGCCCCGCTGCCTCCCACACACAAAAGGGGGTTTAAACCAACAGACCCCTGGCAGCCTTCAAGCTGGCACTGGACAAAAACCAAAAGGGGTCAGTTCCGGATCACCCGGGCGTGGCCGAAACGTTGGTTTGCGTGCCCCCAGCAGCAACACCCTTTGGTTAAAACGGGCTCTGTTTCCACCAGGGGCCCCTGGTCCCGGGACCGGGCCGGGGGGGCGTTGCCCCCCAAAAACCCTCTCTCCAGGTAAACCCCCAGGTAAACCGCGGGACGGAGTACAGTCTAGGGGGCCAGAGACTACAAACCTCACTAAAGGAAAAGGTTCTTGAGGTGAGTAAAATTTACCGGCATAACTCCTGAGGCGCACAAAAACCCCAAAAAACTGCTGCAGCAAAATTAGCGCCAGAAAACCCAAAAGAAAAGCATTATGCATTTTAATAAGGGGGCGTTTCGGGACCCGTACACCGTTTACACCCAAGGTTTTAAAATTGGAGTATGCAGCACCAGTTTAAAACCCCACCAAAGCCAAGCGTGAAAAAAAAATTTTAGAAAAATTCCCAAAGGGGTTTGGAAAACAAGGCAAGCCCCCGGAACTACGGGGTATGTCCAACAGGAGGGGTTTAAGGGAAATAGACCTGACGACGCTGGAGGACAGGAAGATGGGGGGGATAAATAACGACAAAAAAAAATACTAAAAAAAATTGACAAGGTGGACAGAGACAGAATTTTTTCCAGAGTTTGGGAAAACAGCAAAAAAAGGGGGTTCACAATTGGAAATTTGGGGGATTCAGATAAATTCACAGGGTTCTAAGAAGTATTTCTTCATCACAAAAATTGCAGGAAGGAACCCAATGGAAATAAGTCATTTGTCTGTTTTTTTGGGGTTTTTCCCTTTTCCCCCTACAAAAAATGTTTTGGAAAGGAAAGGAAATGAAATGTATTTGGAAATACCTTGAATGAATTTACATACAAATAGTCGGGGAAGTGATGTATGTAGGCAGGATCCAAACATGGGTTTTAAAAAGAGGAAAGAAAAGCCCCTGGAGCAGAGTGCCCTTTAGTAGCAAACCATTGAAGAAGGGGGGTTCAGGGGGCGGGTGAATCGACCTCTTGCCCCCCACAACTAGGGAAACACGCACAAAAAAGGCGAATTTTTAATGAAAAAATATCCCTTATTTGAAGAAAAAATACTAAAAAATTGGTATGAACGGGTAACAACCCAAATTTAAAAGATCCGAATAATCAATAAGTTTTAAAACCAAATTTAAAATGAATAAACCAGGAGTGGGGAAAAAAGTATTACATTCCTGTTTGGGGTCAAACCCTTTAAAAAATTTTCTATGAAAAATCAATTTTGTTAAGGAATTAAGCTTTAGGCAAAAAAATTTTTCTGTTATTTTTTTAAGTATTTGGATAAACCAAAAACGGGTTTGGGGGCCCGCTTTTTTTAATGCAGTGAAAACCCTTAAAGTAAGAAAGGGAAAGTAATTTTAAACCCGGTATACAAAAATACTTACATAAAAATTAAAAATACAAAGAAAGCCCAAGCAATGGAAAATTTAGATTTGCCACCGAAGTGGCTATTTATTGTGCACCCCCATATCCACCCCTGGGGAACGGTAGCGCGAGAGAAATTGGATACACAAAAGGCCAAAGGAACTGGGCCCCAAAAGGGGTTTTAAAAAGGAAAAAACATATGGATTATTTTCTACAACAATATTTTAAACTTTTTCGGGTTAAAAAGCAAATTTAAAGGAAAAATTTGCAAAGTATATCTGGTATCTTTTTTTCATAATAAAAAACTTGACATGTCAAAAAGGGTTTTTATACTGCCCTTCTCTGTTTCCCAAAAAATTGGAAAATTTAAAGCACATATTTGTTAAGAGAGTGACCAAATGCCGATCCATAATTTACATTTATTTATCATCATCTGGGTTTTCCCAAAACTGCCAGAAGTATTTAAAAACCCAAAACCCTAAGCCGGGCCACTACAACATCAGCCCCAGCTTTTCACTTGAAAGGGTTGTTTCCATAAACATACTTACTACTTTCATTTAAACATTTTTGGGTTTTTAGATCTATCAGGTTTTCAAACCGGCATTCCTTTAACAATCATCTTCATTTTTATACTTCTCTCCTAAAATTTTTCCTAAGCTAGACACAGTTATACCAAATTATATTCTACTTTTCCCCTTTCCCCTGGATACTTTTCCCTTGGCTAACATATCAACTTTATCATGAAGAAGTAATCCAATGGGGTGATGGGATCCATACAAATGGTACTTTAATTCCTTTTGTCCCAAATTTTTTTGATATCTTTTACCTGGTTTCCCCCCAATGACATGTTTTTTGGAGCCCATTATTTTAGCCAAACCCTTTCTTTAAATGACATAGAATCGTAATGATGAAGAGTAAAGCCAGTGCATGGGTTACTTTAGCCCCATTGGGGTGAAAAACCAATTCATTTGCAGTGTATACGCCCAAGTTGTTAATTCAAATCCTAACCAAAAAATTTTTATTTCTTTTCAAAACTAGGGAGGGGGCAACAAGACAAAATTAAAGGCCCCCCCAGAAGACTCTTTTTTGATCCATCAGTGTAAATAACTTTTAAAAACTTAAAACAACCAGCTGGCAAAAAATTTTCTTCTTGAGCATTGCTCTAAACAAGAAAATTTAAGGAAGGGGTTTAAACTAGCAATGAGCTTCTTGGGAGGGATTTGTAGGAAGGGTGATTTTAAAAACCCACATTTTCCCAAAGGGGGGGTAAAAAGCTCTTGTTGCCTCCATTGATACATTTCTTTGCGGGTTTTATAAAACAAAAATTGAAATTTGGGCACGTTTTTTCACAACCCCTTTTAGAAAAGTGTGTTTTAAACCTCTAGACACTTGGTAAGATTCACTGTACAGTGCCCTGGTTCTTTTTCCAACTTTCAAATCCCGAGTACAGTTTTTAAATTTTTCAACAACCCCTATCCTGATACAAAAAAAAACCCAAACTCCTTCCTAAATTTTTAAGATTTTTGGTAGACCCGG